GGTTATTTGGAGGAAAATAGCTAGTTGGTTTGGTAAGCTGGAAGGGATGGAGGAAGAATATCTAGTTAATTTTATAGATTGATATTTATTTTGTAAAAAAAAGAAGGTCAAAGTGGACAAATTAGGAGTTGTTTAACTTGTAATTTCTTTGATTATTTGGTTATTGAGGAATGAGATTTGCTTCCAAAATGATGTTTAGAATATTAATAACACGGTGTGGAGTATTAAAATATTGGTTTGGAAGTGGTTTTTTATAGGAGAAATTACCTACTCCAAGTGTAGCTATTACGAGTTTAGCAAAATCTCTTTGCTATTCTCATAGTAATCGAAATTGGTTTGTAATATCTTGTTTCTTATCGGATTTTATTCTCTTTTCTGTGTAAACAGGTTGGAGAACCCTTAATTCTCTCTTATTTATAAACTTACTTACACAAAAAAAATTACTCTTTATTTGTCACGATTTTTAAAACACACATTTACTCCGATTATTCTTTATTCGTCACGTTTTTTAAAATATTTTGTTTTTATTTACTCTTACTTATAAAATTAATAAAGCATTAATAATAAATTTATCAATAATATTTTTTATTATTAATTGTAGAAAAATAATTAATAATATTATAAAAATAATACTAATATTTTTAAAAATATAAAATTTATTGATATTTTTTTTTTGTCTCAACATAAATGTCTTTCTACTCAAAAAATTATTTTAAAATAATAATCTCTTTAATTTTTCGATGTAATATTAATTAATTTTTATCAATTTTATCTTTAATAAATATTATCTATATTTTTTAAATTATGACAATGTATAACAGTTAATAGTAACTAAATATAATTTTATAAAAATTATGTTTATTGATTCAATTATTATTTTTCTTACACTATGTCCAATTTTAAACTATTTTTACTTTGAGATTTTGAAATTGAAAAAGTATATAAAAAGTTAAAATAAAAAACATGCAAATAAAAAAACTCACATCACAAAGATGACTTGGTGTATATGGCCGACATAACAAGGCAGGTGTATAGATTTCCAACACGCTAGGAATATGAATTATGCTTTGATAAGAAAATTGAGTCAATTGTCACAAGGAAGCAATTTTTTTTTAAAGGCGTTACAAGAAAGCAATTAAAACAAAAGCATTAAGCAAAGAAGTTTACACTCTCTTTATTGAGTTTTTTATTAGAACGTCCCTTTCAACCTTGGTTCTTTTATTGATAATCACCTTTTTTTTTCTTTTCATTTTTTAATATTTTAATTAATAATATTAAAAATAATAAAATAAGAAGTAATTTGACTACTTTGATCTTTAGAGGTTATGCATGAAAAAAAATTGGATCTTCATTAAATGATCATTTCCTTCTAAAAAGTAATTCAACGATGGACTTTCACTGAAAAAAATTTCTTTCTACTTCAAAGATAATTAAACGATGGAGTTTTATTAAAGAATCTTTGTCGCTTATAAGATAATTGTATGTTAGATTTCCATTTGAGATCCTCATCGTATATAAAGAAATTATATGTTGGATTTTTATTAAAGGATTTTTGTCATCTATAAGTTAATTGTATAATGGAACTTCATTAAAGGATCTTGTCGCCAATAAGGCAATTGTATGTTGAATTTTCATTGAAAACTCTTTGTTGCCTATAAGAAAATTATATGGTGAATATTGAATGATCTTTTCCGCCTTATTAACCAATATATGGGTGGGACCTTCACTGAAGGATCTTCGTCGCCTCAATAAATTGCATAGAATGCGCACATTAAAGACAACACAAAACAACAAAGCTCTTAAAATAAAACATGAAGCAATTCACTGATAATATATCTCAGAAGAGTGTGGTTAAAAAGGCCCCAAGGGCATGATTTCAAAAATCCACAAAGGGGAAAGCTATAAAAAAACAAGAACAATAAAGAGATCCTAATGTCTCTCTTCTTCTTCTTCTTTAACTTACCCCTCGACAAGGACAAAGGAACCCTCATTCCTCTCCATTTAAGCATATATGTCCTAGGTAGGGACCATAGTGGCAGGAGGGACTTAATCTTCCTCATCTATAAACTTTCTATCCTTGATCATTTTGAACCAATCAAGTTGGCTCGGATCCAAGTTAGGGCAGACGAAGACCACTTGTGTTAGACAAGTGACTTCAAACACGAAAGAAGAGGGAGAATTATGTTTCTTTGAAAAATAAGGTGCAATTAAAAAACTACGATAAAGTAACTATTTAAAACAATTTTGTAAAGAGTAAGGAGCGAAATAAATAGAATAAAACAATAGTAGAAAACCGATTTGAGCCCACCTGAAATAAGAAAACAATAGAAATAGAAAGAGGTAAGGGATATGAAGAATACATCAGAGATTTATAGAGGTTCGACCTAACCAATTGGCCACTTCTCCCCAAGAATTTATTCTTGAGAGTTTTCGCTAGAGATGTGAGATTTTCACAAGTAATACCCATGAACCTTGTTACAAATAAACTTGGAGTTTTACATTGGCTATCCACCAAACCAAACATAGATTTTCACGAACAATCTCATAAACCAAATGAGAGATTTTACAATATCTGGTCACTCAGGCACGGACTAAGCGAGCTTTCACACTTCCTGTCTTTCACAACTCTGAAGCTTCAAATTTCCTTGCTTGATACATCAATGATTCAACACTTTATCTAGGACTTAACTTCTTCTATCTGATAAGGCTTGATAAGACTTTTTATAGTTACCAACATCAGAGAGATTTTCTTGACTGAATATCATCAAGGATTCCACCGAATACCTTTGACATTAAGTGATACCCTTAAGAGATTAGCTTTGACATCTTGATCTCCCAAGCATAACATCTTGATCATAACTTCAGATGAAGACTTCACCTCATAGTGTTGTCATCATCAAAACCATGTAAGTTAATTGATTGCTACAAATATTATACTTGCAAGCAAATAAAGTCATAATTTGTTCCTTCGCCTCAGCGCCTCTCTTTTTGGATGGCGGTTAGTAATAATGTTTCCCTCATCGCCTCTTTTTTCTCCCTTGATCATGATGTTGCCAATGTGGCTTTTTGGATTATCAATCCATTGGTCGCCCTAAGCAGTCTTCTTCTTTGTCAAGCAAGATTTCCTCTCAGTGACATTCACGGGAGTCATTATTTCTGCAAAAAGAAAAGTAACACTAAGCATTGAGCAATAATAAAATCCTACTAGATAACTCCTATAGAAATTAAACTTACGAAAGTGCTCATCAATTTCATTATCTTCGCCCATATCGAGCTCCATCATTCCCCTAGAGCTCATAATATTAAATTCATTCAAAATATTAACCATTTATCTCTGTGATTATTAGGTAGTCAATGTCAATGATGTTTATGGCCACAAGATCCTCCGTTCAATAATAGGCGTCATCTCTCTTATGATAACCATGAACGCGTCGTCCCACCCCTTCATTGCCATGAACATGTCTTTCCAGTTCTTATAATGATTAGAGTGGGGGATGAATAAGATTTTTCTCGATAAAGCGCCTAGAGTCATCCAACGACCTTTGGTTTTTGTTTTAGTATCATAAAAAGAGAAGAAGATACTTATGATGAAATTAACTTATAGGCAAATGATCCAAGCATCTGTAAACGGGTCGGACATGGAGCAGCCCACCCATCTTAGCAAATGATCCATCAGACATAAACAGGAAGGACATGTTAGTGGGCCGCATAAGATATAGCTTTCCAACTTCAGTATGGACATGTATAATATGATGTCTCATAAAGCATACCGCCCATACGAGCCTCATGCTTGAGGGATTGTGTGCATGTTCGAAAACTTGGGACGAATCTATATACAGACTCGGAGTTCTCCCCCGATTTCTAAATATCCTATGGGGCAACATCAATTTGGATCAACACAAACAAGTCGACCCACTGTTTCAAGGTCTAGTGCAAGGTCAGGTTGGGTAAACATAAAAAGGTTGAGATAAATAGGTTGGTCCAAAACCGACATATCCGATTAATGACTAATAATGCCTCTAACACTAAGACAAAGCCTTAAAAAGAGCGCCAAGCAAGAGCCCTCGGGTTGTCCTTGCATACATCTAAGACTCCTAGAGGAATGATAAGTTGAAACTTATCTTTAAACTTCTCGCCATTATCACAAAACACGACTCAGAAAATCGTAGGCGGTATAGCAAATACGACTCGCATAAACTTCATTAGAAATAACATTTTCACTATATATTTATAACATCTAACCACAAAGGATAACAGGAAATGGATCTCGCCACATACCCAGATCCTCTCATTTCCATAACTGCAGTGCTATGTGGTCATTATACTGCATCAACACCAATCAATGAGGCAATACGAGTTCGCCACATGATAATAAATTGGAGGTTATAGGTTAACGGTCCAATCTGAAGTGCAACCTAAAACATCTCGTTCCCACAAGCCTCGTGATTCGAGAAATATGTATCTCCCAGACTTTTAAAAGTGTCCTCAGACCCCTACCTAAAACATCTCATCCCTAATGATTTCAGTAAGATAGAATTAGAACCCCTCTCTCTCCCCTATAACTCTCTCTCCTTCGTCCTAATTTTTCATTTTCTTTTTTTATTATAGTTTTTATAAAATATTTTAAAAACTAAGTAAGTTAAATCGCCTAAGGTAAAGTTACATAATCCTTCTCCCAATAAATACGACCTAGCAAGAAATCTATTTTGAGTTAAACTTTTGAAGATAGTTTAATAAAGTGAAAGTACTTATTTAATATTCATCTTATCTTATGTGTTACTCTTTTACTCCATTTCTATTATTCATGAGGGAATTGCTTTTACGCAAAATAGTTAGGACTAAAAATCAATTCTATCTGGGTAGTCGGTACCTCTTTAAAAAGTCCAAATTCCAATTCTATGGGTACATTCTTTTCAAAGCTGTGCAACCTGTTCTTGTCCAACAAAACCACACAAACGCTCATAAACATTCTCCACAACTCACCACATTCCGACACAAACATGGAATTGGAACCTATACTTCATCGAACAGTAACCGCCAATGGCATTAACATACACATAGCTGAAAAGGGTCAAGGTCCACTAATCCTCTTCATCCACGGCTTCCCCGACCTATGGTATTCATGGCGCCACCAGATCACTTTTCTATCTTCCCATGGCTACCGTTGTGTGGCCCTAGACCTCCGCGGATACGGCGACACCGATATTCCTACCTCACCAACGTCCTACACTAGCCTCCATGTCGTCGGGGACATCATCGGACTTCTTGACAACATTATTGCTGATCAAGAGAAAGTGTTTGTTGTGGCTCATGATTGGGGTGCAGTTACGGCTTGGTATCTTTCCCTTTATCGCCCTGATAGAATCAAAGCTCTTGTTAACTTGAGTGTTGCTTTTACTCCAAGAAACCCCAAAAGAAAGCCTCTTGATACCCTTAGAGCTGTCTATGGTAATGACTACTATATCAACAGATTTCAGGTATGTTCCATCATGTCTATATCTATACATCCAGACGGACACGAGTGTGCTAGTTTGAATGCTAGTATAATTTTCGGATCGATGAAGTTCTTTTGTTTAAAAAAGAGTTATATTGTTCTAAGTGGTGGTTTCTGTGAATTGCAATATTATAGGAGCCTGGTGATATAGAACAAGAGTTTGCTGAGATTGGCACTGAAAGAGTCTTGAAGGAATTTTTCACCTACCGTAATCCTGGTCCACTTTATTTACCTAAGGGTAAAGGTTTTGGACATCCAAATGATTCTCCTATAGTGTTGCCTCCATGGTTATCGGAAGAAGAATGTAAATACTATGCTTCCAAATTTGACAAAACTGGCTTTACAGGAGCATTGAATTACTACAGAAATATAGATCTGTATGTTTATTTATTATCTTCAACTCTTTTGTTTGTGCTTCATAGATTTTCTAAGCTGAAGTTAACTAAATTATCCTATTGTTTTCCTTGTGATTGTAGAAACTGGGAGCTTACTGCTCCATGGACTGGTGCTAAAGTCAAAGTCCCAGTTAAGTTTATTGTGGGTGATCTTGACCTGACCTATAATGCACCTGGCGCAAAAGATTACATTCACAAAGGTGGGTTGAAGAGAGATGTGCCACTTCTTGAGGATGTGGTTGTAATTGAAGGGGCTGGGCACTTCATCCATCAAGAAAGGGCTGATGAGACTAACAAACATATCTATGACTTCTTCAAGAAATTCTAATTTGCTTTTGAGGTGCTTTTGGAATGTGTCTATTTGTTCCTGCTCTGAGTGCATCTTTTGTGTTTATGAACTCTTTAAGTTTGGGTTTTATTAAGTGTGATATGAATAATGTCAATGTACATGTCTATAAACTCTTTCATGCTCAGGGTTTATTAAGGGTGGTGTGAGAATAATGCATTGTCAATGAACATACATCTTAACTCTTTTTTTAAGTACCAACTTAAGTACCAGATTTTCCGGTCTGTCTTTTTTACAACTTGTGAGATTTATATGATCCCCTCCATTTTTATGACCCTTTTCTAATCATGTAATACTCACATGATTCTCTTTTCCAGATAAAAATGGCTATTTACACAATAATACTATGATGGCTATATATCTTCATTCCAAAATTCCATCATCATAAATTAGGTGGTCTCTTATTGAGCGCATCGCAATAATTATTTTGCACAATGACAATACTAGCTGTCACCATTTTCATGATGTTTAAAAGTACCTCTTCCACTTTGATTAAGAGTACCTATTCTAGTTCTAGGAAATAAAAACAGCCTGATACCAATTCCAGATGATGGAGTTTTTATGATATATTCCTCTCTTTTGTTTCTTCTAGGCAAGATATACCAATATCATTAGTTTCCTGATATTTTTCGCTTTTCAACATTAAACTCGACGTCCACAAGGCCTGTAATACCTGCAGTAATTTTTTGACCTTCTTTCACAGGGCCAACACCTGGGGGAGTGCCTACAAATCATCATAATAAATGTTAATAACTAGACATTGTGTAGTGCATGCATTATATTTAATCATGAAGAAATTGATTAATTGCAAAACAGGTCTACATGGCCAGCTCAACTCAAAGTAAGCCAAATTAAGTGTAGCTAAAGCTCTGTTAACTTAACTGAGAAATCAAAACTTTCTAAGTTCAACTTATCTAAGTCACAAGCTATTTTCAGTTTAATGAATCAATAACAAGCCACAAATTAATTGAATATTTTAGGCTCCATTTGAAAACTCAAGCTTAGCATATATTTATAAGACATTGTTCTCAAATCGTTGAACTGGTTAAGTGATAATGATATGAGCTGCTAAGTAAGCACGCGAGCTAACTTGAATCATTTCCAGCCCCATCCCCAAGTATGATTTTGAAGCAAATAAAGAAATCCAAGATCAGCCCGAATAGAGGTGGCAACTGGTAATCTCTTCAATGTTAAATTGGAATTAAAAAAAAAAACATAAACAGTTCCAAACTTTACTTTTCTTTTCCAAGAATGGTTTTGGGGAGAAGGGAGTTTGCCCCTTATCAAGAGCACAAGCCATAAGTCTTTTCAACGCTAGCAGAAATTACATACTCCAGAAACTATCAATAAACATCTACCAACAGAGGTCGAGAATCCCAAGACCTTTTATCGAAGGTACACATTCAATCATTTGAACCAACACCCGATAACCAAATGATAGTTTAAAAACCAGAAAAATATGCCAAGATAACTGAAGATATTCATTATCTAAAATATATCACAAATATAAATAAGCAGATGAAGTATCAATGTAGTACCAGTTAGAATGACATCTCCTTCAAACAATGTCATCAAAGAGCTTATGTAGCTAATTAAAAATGGAAGTTTGAATATCATGTCCTTAGTTGAGCCCTTCTGCCTAATTTCCTCATCTACCTACAACAAAGCAAACCCATCTCTCGGCAATTAGTTTAGGTATCAAATGCATTTCTGAAACAATGCATAATCAATACTAACAGAACTGAGTATTGAAGGAGAAGTACAAAAAAAAAACTCAAACCTTAATCCATAATTCTAGGTCATCCGGGTTTGGTACAGAAGTCTTGGGCAACTGTGTATATAATTAAAAAATCAGGTAAACTAAAAGAAAATAAATTAAAAAATAATGAGATGTGCAAAATAATTTTGTTATCGTGTCAATAATATCTATCGGGAACAATGACTTGTTGCTTGAAGAAATTTTGGTTTTGATTGGAAGAATGAGTATAATTGAGTTAAAAACCTTCATTACTATATGCATAGGAAGTTGGAACAATTTATTCTATTCTATTTTCTCTCTGCAAAAAACTGATAGGAACTTGGGTATTATGGGGTGTCCAACGGTCCAAGTCCCAAATCAAGTAGTATATGGAATGCTCGGTAGAGTATCTAAGTGACTAGGTTCTTTCCCCTTGATCACTACAAGTAGCTTTTAAGGAAGGGCTCCCCAAGCGCTTGATACTTATCGGATACACATAAATAAAAAATTGGAGCAAATTTACATTATCATCATATGTAGTTCTTCACTCCTTACAACTATCCAAGATTGTGAAGCCATGTTTCTAATATTTCGTTTGTAAGAGAGCTAAGCATATAATAAGCATCATAACATGCACTTTCTTACAATGGGACTAATTGGTGTGAAAGTGTCCTGGCCTTTTGCTACAGTCCATGGAAGACCTGCAGACTAACAACAAAAGGGAAAAAGAAACCACACCAAGTATTAGATAATGAAAATATCAGGTCTAAATCACCTTAAAAATTATTAAGCAGAAAAACATGAAACGTTGCCAAAGCAAAAGGGAACTATGACAAAAACCATTCTAGCCAATTGTCACCTAAGTATTTGAATAGGGATGGAGTAGCAGAATTTTAACAAATCACTAATGTTCTACCATACTCAATTGAGTATAAGTGTTGTCAAATAGTGTCAGTAGCAACTAGCAATGCTATAGCACTCCTGCGCAGCAGAATTTGAACAGATGCTATTAACAACATTGCTTGTCACAAGTCTATAAATACATGTGTAGCACCTTATGTAGCATCAGCGACACTTGTGCCTGTGTCTGTCCGAAACTGACACTGACACTTGTGATTACGTTTAATTTATTAAAATTATTACCGGCGTCAATGTGTCAGTGTCTGTGTCGTGTTTATGTTGTATGTGCTTCGTAGATGAATACAGCAAAGGAGTGCTTAACATCATATTGTTTTTTTTTTTTTTTTTTTTCAAAACCTTCTGGTTGGAGCATATATATTTCTTCTTCAAGTTCTCTATGAAGAAAAGCAGTCTTTACATCCAATTGTTCAAGATGTAAATCATAAACAGCACACATAGCTAACACTACCCTGATAGTGGTAAGTCTAACCGCCGGAGAAAATATTTCATTGAAATCAATTCCTTCCTTTTGAGCATACCCTTTAACCACTAATCTTGCACGATATCTTTCCACTTGATCATTACCATCACGCTTAATCTTATAGACCCATTTGTTGCCGATGGCTTTCCGACCTTCAGGAAGTACAACAAGATCCCACGTCTTATTTCTATGTAAGGCTTCCATTTCTTCCTGCATTGCTGCCATCCACAAAGAATCATTTGAGCAACTCACAGCCTCTTGAAAGGTTGATGGTTCTCCATCTTCGGTTAGAAGACAATATGCATCATGGCTTGCCATAACATAGTCTGATTGCCAATTTGGTTTCCTTTTCTGACGTGTTGATCGTCGAACTTCAACACCATCAGGTTCATCTAGTTCTTGTACCTCGTGCTCTGGTTCTGCTTCAAAAGAGTCATTTTCAACAGACTTTCCATCTATATGAACAATAGTGTTATCTTTAGAAGTGTTATCATTTTCCTGCTCCCTTTGCATTTCATCCTCTGCAAAGATTACATCTTTGCTGACAATAACCTTATGGGAAGTGGGATCCCACAGGCGATACCCCTTGACACCGTCAGCGTAGCCCAAGAATATGCATTTCCTAGATTTTGGATCTAGCTTAGTTCTTTCTTGGGAGTTGTACATCACGTACACGGGACATCCAACTACATGTAGAGTAGAATACTCAGCTGGCTTTCCTTTCCACATCTCCATCGGAGTCTTTAAACCAATTGCACTTGATGGCGATCTAATTATCACATAACAGGCAGTTTTCACGACTTCTGCCCAGAATGACTTGGCTAATTCTGCAGTTCGTAACATAGCTCTAGTCCTTTCTAGGAGAGTTCTATTCATCCGCTCTGCTACACCATTCTGCTGAGGCGTATGAGCAACTGTAAATTGTCTCATTATACCCTCTTCCTTGCAAAATGACAAAAAATCACCGTCTGTATATTCTCCTCCATTGTCTGTCCTCAAGCACTTAATCTTCTTTTCAGTTTCAAGCTCAATTAGTGCTTTGAATTGCTTGAATATTGAAAACACATCTGACTTCTTCTTGATTGGGTATACCCACAATCTTCTGGAGTAATCATCAATGAATGATACAAAATATTTTGCTCCTCCTAGGGACATTTGTGGTGACTCCCACACATCAGAATGAATCAAGTCAAGTATGTGTTTGCTCTTAGTAGTTGATCTATCAAACTTCAACCTATTTTGTTTGCTTACCACACAATGCTCACAGAAAGGTAGACTTACTGATTTGAGCCCGGGTAAGAGATCACGTTCTGCAAGAATTTTCAAGCCTCGTTCTGACATGTGGCCTAATCTGCGATGCCACATTGTCGTTGAGTTTTCTTGACTAGTTGATGCAATTGACACATCACCTTCTTGCAATGTCTCTCCCATAAGAATGTATAGATTTGCAGATAGCTTCTCTGCCTTCATCACTACTAGAGCACCTCTCACCACCTTCAAGATCCCACCTTCAACATGGGTCTTGCAACTGAGATCATCTAACTGTCCAATAGACAATAAATTTTTCTTCAAACCTTTCACATGTCGTACCTCTTGAATTGTGCGAATTGTACCATCATACATTTTTATTTTGACAGTACCTACACCAGCAATTTTTAAGGCGTAATCATTTCCCATGAACACGGATCCTTCTGAGATAGGTTGATAAGTGTAAAACCAATCTCTTCGAGGAGTCATGTGCCATGTTGCTCCTGAATCAATTATCCAAACATCAGTGAGTTGTTTACTACCTTTGCAATTATTTGTTGCTCCGCTATATAGAATCTCTCCATCATCAGAGGTATTGGCAATACATCCTTGAGA